CGGAAGATGACGCCAAGTTAAAGATGAAGACGAACTAAGGCTTGAGATCATATGCTTGATGCCTCAAAAAATTCCTACACAATCTACGACAAAGCCTTAACCTTATATATATTGCTGTCGTTGCCTGCATGCATGCTCAATCACCTTAATCAATTAACTATGATGCAGGGCATGTATAGCAGCATCGTGGGTGAAGCCACTCATGCAGCACTTCTACCCTTCGTTGCTCTCTTAATGCTCATTGTTTTTCTCCCTTTGTTTCGGCACTTCCACCAAGACCCTTGTCATCATGTTCATCCTCGCCTACCATCACCTCATCGCTTACCTATCATAGGTCACCTCCACCTCCTCTCAGCCCTTCCACATCAATCCTTCCACCGCCTATCCCAGCACCTCGGACCCATTTTCTCCCTTAGCCTCGGCTCCATACCATGCATCATCGCTTGCTCCTCTTCTGCTGCTCGCGAGTTTCTTAAGACACATGACTCTTCCTTTCCCAATAGACCATTCACTAAGGCTGTCTCCATTCTAACATATGGTTCTTCTAACTTCTCATTTGCTCCTTACGGCAGCTTTTGGCGCTTCACCAAGCGACTCTATATGATGGAGCTTTTCAGCACTCGAACCCTTGAGCAATTTCGCCCAATTCGTCGCGATGAGCTTAGACGACTCCTTGTGGAGTTGCACGCCAAAGCCAAAGAAGGTGAGTTTGTAGACTTGGGCGCAGAGATGACAAAGATGACAAACAATGTGACTAATCGCATGGCTGTTAGCCGACGATGCTCGGGAACAAATGCTGAGGCTGATGAGGCAACTAGGTTGGTGATGCAAACAACAGAGCTGCTAGGAAAGTTTAACGTTGCAGATTATTTATGGTTTTGCAAAAATTTGGATTTGTAAGGGTTTGACAAGAGGTTGCAGGATTTGCACCAGAGGTTTGATTGGTTGATGGAGAGAATTATGGTGGAGAAGGAGAAGGAAAGGAAGAAGATGAAAGGAGCTGATCAAAATATTGAAAATAATTTGAAAGCAAAGGACTTGCTTGATATATTGATGGATATATCTGAGGATGAAGGAGCGGAGGTTAAGCTCACAAGAAACAATGTTAAAGTTTTCATACGAGTGAGTTTTTTTTGTACAACATTATATATAAGTATATATCTTGATATGATTTTTATTTTATTTTAAGCTCGCATGTTTTAATCCAATTTATAACTTCAAGACATCTGCACCGGGGGCACCGATAACACTTCATTAACGGTGCAATGGGCGATGGCTGAACTCATTAATAACCCAATCTACATGCAAAAAGCTAGAGCTGAACTCGACACTATTGTAGGAAATCATCGATTGGTGGATGAAAATGATATTCCCAACCTCCCATATCTTAAGGCCATCGTGATGGAAACACTTCGTCTCCATCCTCCAACCCCTTTAATCCCTCGTGAATCTGACAAAGATTGTATGGTCGATGGCTTCAACATCCCAGCTAAGACAAGACTTTTCATCAATGTTTGGGCCATTGGTCGTGAGTCTAAATATTGGCCCGACCCTCTCAAGTTTATGCCAGAGAGATTTTTAGTAAATGAGGACAATGATAATGTTATCATCGATGTAAGGGGCCAACATTTCCATTTAATACCATTTGGAAGCGGAAGGAGAGGTTGCCCAGGAATAACAGCAGCACTTCAAGTCGTGTATAGTGCATTGGCCTCACTAATACAATGCTTTGAGTGGAAGGTTGCTGGAGATGGAGAGAAGATTGACATGACTGAGGCGTCTGGATTGACGCTGCGGAGGGCTACTCCTTTGCTGTGTATTCCAGTGTCTCGTCACATTAGTTTGTTACCTTTATCATAAGTATATATTTGGGTGAAATATAGTCTATATAAAGTTTGGTAGGTAAAAAATATATGGTGAAGTTGAGTTCTTAATTTATATAAATGATCTCCTCTTAAAATTGATGTATGAAAAAAGAAGTCAAACTCAAAATGAAAAGAAAAGAAAAAAGAAATGAAGAGAACTTAAAAGGAGAGTATGTGAGCTTGAGAGTTGTATTTTGTATTGTGTTATAAGTTGGATTAAAAATATTTTAGTTTATGTGCGACAAATTTCTAACTCCGCTTATGTCTATTTTGATAATATATTTGATATATTGACTTCATGGAATTTGAAATTTTTAACGAAAGTAAAAATAAGTGCACATCCATGCATGCATGGATTCAAGCTCATGAGGGCTTTAAGAAAAAAAAAGTAAGATTCATTAAATGAATAAGAAAATAAATAAGGTTGAATATTTCATAAATTTTTTTTGTTATGTTTCTATGTATTATACATGGATCAAACTATATGTTGTATAAATATCAGTTATATAAAATCTATCCTTACAAAGATTAATACAAAATACCTGTTATAACATTTTTTTTTGTAATGAGAAATGTATGGGAAACATTTAATAAATTTATCTAATCATTTAGTCTTATAAAAAAAGGAGATATGGTTGCCTAGCACTATTTCTTAGCTACGAATCAATGAAGAATCACAGTAGAGAGATTGAATAGAAAACACATAAACCATTGAGCAACAAGCTACTTTAAGGAGGATCATGTTGATTCTGTGATTAACAAGTTAATTTTTTTTTAAAAAAATTATATTTTTAGATTAGCTTTTGATAAACTAATGATTAACAGTGGGAACATGTAGGTGGCATGATGTGGTTGAAGGAAGAACAAGATTTAAAGATTTACAGTAAAAGGGGACTATTTATGATTCAAATAACCTCCATTTGAGGAAATCTATACAACACATCCTAACTTAATGCTTGGGAAAGAAATGGAGGAACATTTTTGTCTCTAATAAAATCAAAAGTAGTTGATGCTTCCAACAAAAATGAGATTATGTTTATTTTTTTATTAAATTCCCTCAAGCATCTCCAATACAAATATATTAAAAATATAAATTTGAGTTAAAGGATGAGATCTGCTTGGTATAATATTTGAGTTAATTATAACTAAATCCATATATATATGTATCAATACAATAAACATAATCAATCTCTCTATTAAGAGTGTAAATAATTATCCCTAATAAGTACCTAAAATCTTAAACTACACAAAATTTTCAACAACTCTTTAAAGTAAGCCAATAGGTTCCATATCTATAAACTAGTTTTGTTTCTTCAAATTAGGATGAAGCCTTAAACAATCCTTGGTAGTATGAGCATGAGAAAAAAATGAATAACATTTTACCAAAAAACTCTTACTAAATAAATGTTCTTTATTAATATCACCTAAACTTCATCCTTGTAGTAACATAAAATGTGCATTTCCATTAATACTCTAACAATAGATGGTGCAAAGAGGGAAAGATTCAATTAATTTTAAGAGGCTGTCCAAAAATTGATGCTTGAGAAGATAAGTTATTGGAGTACATAAAATGGACCCACAAGTGAGGGAATGTTGTCAAAATTTATAGGATAGATGATACTTTAATAACATTAAAAATGAGGGCCTTTTTTACTACATACAACAAAAAATCAATAATATATAAAGTCAGTTTTAAAATATAATGAAATAAAAATTCACATTTGTAATTGAACAATAATATTAAATTGACCTAAATTTTGATTAGAATTATACGTTCCAAAGCTTTTTAAACTAGTGTTATAACTAATTAGCCAAGCAAGCTCATACTAGTTTTATACAATACTTATTCATCCCTTAGTCAGGACTTTATCTTTGCATTGTCCCTATCCTTAAACTTTACAAAGTTTTAAGATGCTTTATCTTAGGGAGTCTTCTTTTAGACTATTATAGAACCTCAATTCTCTACTATGATCATAAATTGATTAGACTTATTTGGCCTTAAATCAACTTAACCTTAATTCACCTCAATTAATTTAAAACTATATGTTGAGCTTTGTCAACCTAAAGGCATTATTGGTTCCTATAATTTTAGCTCTTTCTAAACCCATCTAAAGTGATTTAGAAAATTTTTAAGGGTATTTTATGGGATGATAATTCATTCTACTATCGACTCTAATAGTCATTGAAAATTATAGTTACCAACCACAATTAACCTTTGGCCTTTTGAAAAAGGCATAAATATCATATAGCCAATGATTTTTCTAATTTTTGTTGACTCGGACTCCTAATACATTGTTGGCTTTACATAGATGTGACCCTCTATAGTTATCAAAGCCTTATTAACCATATTTGTTGACAAGTTCTGGTCCTTGATTATTGGTAGGCAACTTCTATATTTTTTGTTAAATATTCTCGATATTCGGATTATGAGCCTGCAAAAAAAATGGTATATCGGTGATTCAAAAGATGTGGAGTAGGACTGAGAGATTTTTATGTTTGTATTATGTTGAGGACTATGTGGTTTTGGTACTGCTACATTTGCATATGTGTGTTGATTTAGATTATGTGTTGTGTTTTAGATTTTTTTTAATTTGTTTATTGTTGTTGTGATGTTTGTGTTTGTTAATATTTTGTTTTTAAATTTTAGGGTAGTAACTGTTGTGAGTTTTATAATTTAGTTAGTTTAGAACTTTACTTAATTCTATGACTTTTGAAAATATTAAAAATTTTGCTAACTTAGATCTTAAATTTAAATTTCAGAAACTGCAACCTGTATATTTCTTTTATCTTATTTGTGTGTTTGTTTTTATGTTGAGATTGTGAAGTCAAAGTTAGTGTGTTAGTTTGCTTTTATGTTTATACCCACTGCTTAGAAGTCTATTGAATCTCTATATGTTGAATTGAAATGAAAATATTAGAAAATTTGATCAAAATTAATTTTACTTCTGTTTTTTAGTTTTTCTACTTGTATCATTAAAGTTTAAAAATTTCTGTTAGCATGTTATTTTAAATTAGCATGTTATTTTAACTTTTCATTTCTGCTTATATATATCTGATGTTAAAATATTTAATCTGTTAAAAATTTAAGTTTTGGGGGGATGAAAAATATTTTTAAAACTGGAATCTTATTTGTTCTCAAATATGCTACAAGTGAATTTGATTTGAAAAGAAAAAAAATGATTATGTATATGAAGTTATATTAGGGAAGTAAAATTTGATTTAGAAACGAGTAAGAAAATTTAGTTGAAAATTTTTTAGTAAAATATGGTCCAAGGAGGCTAGGGATTAAGCCTCTGGTCTTGGTGTAAGGTTTAGGTAACAAGGTTTTGAGCTAAGAAATTAGGCTCCGGGAAGGGGATTCAGGGCAATGTGGTGGTTGGGCTGCACCGAGAAGGTCTCAAAGAGGCCTTGGAATCAATTTAGGTAAGTCTCTTAGAGGAATTTTCATCTCTCTCCCCATGTCCTTGGAGGGGAGATTTGATAAAAATCACCTCAGGCTTGCTGTCATAACTAATTAGGGGGTGAAATGTGTTGCCTACGTGGAGGGCAAAGAGGCTCTAAGTTTCAATTTGGATGAGGTGGCCTCTAGGTTTGTATTGGGTTTAATTCCATGTGGGTATCTCTCAATTTGGCCATTTTATGGCCACTAGGCCGGCCGGCCGGCCAGCGGAGGTGGCTAGGGAAGTCAGGTGAGCCAGGGGAATATGTCACAACAATTTAAGAATTTTAGGCTTTGTTTTGGTAAAAATATCCAAGGCTTAAGAAAATAAGGCATTAAATCCCTTGGTTTTAGGGACCTTTGGTACATGTCTTAGCTTAGGTGGTTGCATGGGGTTTAGGCTGGTCACTAGAGTCCAACTTATGGCTGTGGAGTCATTAAAGGATAGTTAGGTCACCTTTAGTGCATGGGTTCAATGTGGGTCCAAGTGATCAAAACTTGGGTTTGGTCTAGGATAGCCATGTCAATTGACCAAATTGATTGATACATTTGATGTAAATGATTCTAATGAACATTTTTTTTGAAGGATTGAAAGGATTTTGAGTTCAATTGGGGGGTCAATTTGGAGGATTTTGGAGTGTTGGTCATTTTGGTTATGTTGGGCTAGACTTGGGTCTAGCTTGGGCTAGTGTTATGTTGGGCTAGACTTGGGTCTAGCTTGGGCTATTCTTGGGCTAATTCCATATTGATTGTTGTAAATGGTCAATAGGGACCCCATGAAGAGTTTTCAACATGAATTGGATGCCAATTTGGAGGTTAAGGCAATCAATTGGGTAAAATTTGGGGACTTAGCCAATTTGGGGCTAAATTTGGGAATTTTGGATTTAGACCAAAATCAAATGGATTTGAGGCTTCACCAAGTCCAATTGATGGTTTATTTTGATGTGTAGGAATCTTATAAATATTTGGCAACATTAATTGGGGCCAATTGACTAGGCTATGGGTCAATTTGATGAGATTAGGTCAATTAAGCTTTTATTGGGGGTTTGACCTATACCAAAATTGGGGGTTTGACCTATACCAAAATTGGGCTCAAATCATGGGCCAATTAAGCTTTTATTTGGTCTAATTTGGCCATATCAAAAGTGAATTTGAGTTTAGGATTGAAATTGGGGTCAATTGAGATCAAATTGATGGACATTTGAGTTGAATTTGGGGAAATTTGGGCTTTTAAAGATAAATTTGGGGGTTTTGATCAAAGATGGTCAAATTGGCCAAATTGGGTCATGTAAACGTTAAGAAAAAAAAAATTAGCAATATTAA